GAGAAATACAAATGTAAATTAAATAAAGTATGTTAGGCAAGGCCTAGCTAGTTGAAAAAAAAAAAAAAAAAAAAAAATTTACAATATTTAATATATTTTTAATGTATAAAAAAAAATAGTATTTTTAAATATTTTATTAATTAATATTTATTAATAAATTTATTTAAAATTTTAATTTATCAAAATATTTTAAGCAAGTTTATTATTATTAATAATTTTTAATAAGCTTATGTTTTATATATTGATATAAAATTGGTAAAAACGTTTTAATTTTAATCTTTTACGTTATTTTAAGAATTTAAAAATCAAATAATATATGCATAGTATTGTATAATCTATAATCAAAATAACTAAAAAACACTTTAAATATTTTTGAATATAATCAATAATTTAAAATAAATTGTTGATGATTTCATTTTATTCTTTAGAATATTTTTTTAAACATTTTATTATTTTATTACTTTTGATTTTATAATCTACATTTACAATTTTTTTATATTTTTTAATCAATTTATTTATGTCAAATATTAAAATAATAACTAGATTCGTGTGATATTTAAACTTCATAAATTTAGTTTATCGAAAAAAAAAACATTGAATTACAATTAGTAAAGATAATAACGATAATTTAAGACTTTGTCAAATAAAATTATTTGATTATTTATCTGTTGTTTTGAATAAATATTAAAAAAAAGATGATTAATCGTATTGTTTATCCATCATAAAAAACAATTCAATTTCCGATTGAATTTTTGAGTAAATGTCGTATTAATTACATTGTGAGAATTCTATAAAAAAATTACGTCCTTGAAATGGATTACGTAATTGGTGATTAATAATAATCTATTAAGATCTCGTGATAATCAATTTTTTTTCGTGTTGCAATGTATTATTATATATAGGGAATCTATTCATCAGGTCTTGAAGCTTTTCTTAATCACATCACAAATGGAAAAATTAAAAAAAGCACCACTTCCTTCATCCTTCAAAAAGACCCGGCCTAAGGAAACTAATGCGCCAATCGATCCCGAATTAATTAAAGAATTAAAATTTGACGCGGATATTCGTGACCTTTGGTCAAAAAGCGTTTATGACCGAGATCGACGCGAAATATTTGAAAAGACTGATGAAATTTATGATTTTATCATTGTGGGAGCCGGTACAGCAGGATGTGTGTTGGCAAGAGAGCTGATTCATAATATTCCGTATGTTAATATTTTGGTATTGGAGGCTGGCCCACCGACTACACAAGTCAATGATAGGATGCGTTTACCGGGCACATAT